TTATGCACAATCTACTTGCAATCTTGAATTTTAAGTGATATGCATTATTAAACAGTAATTTACGCATAAAAAATGATTTTTAAGAGCTTTTGTCAAATGATTTATAATATAGTATAGATAAAATAAAAATTTGAAGATATCATAAAAATTTGAATTTTTTTATCAATGTTAATATCAAATTAACTATTTAAAAGTTCTCATTTTTATGTAATTTTTTTAATTTATTTTTTATTATAGTTTAATTTAAGTTTAATAACGAAATAATTTTTTTTGGTATAATAATATAACATTTTATAAAGATTATAATTAAGTATTTTATTAGAACTTAATGATTATACTAATTATATTTTAGATTTTTTACATTTAAAATGAGATGTTTATCATGTATTTGATTATGTTTATCTGTAGTTAGTTACACGAATTTAGATATGGAGCTTTAATAAGTTATACTTATGCACAATCTACTTGCAATCTTAAATTTTAAGTAATATATATTAATAAACAATATTTTATATATAAAAAATGATTTTTAAAATTTTTTATTAAATACTTTATAATATAGTATAGATAATAGATTGTCAGAAATAAGTTTGTTTTTAAAGATATTGATCGTAACCGGGGAGAGAGGTTTTACGATATTCTCTACCTTCTCCGCCACGCCAACAGCCACCTTGCCATCTCCGTTTCTCTCTTCGCCGGAAATAGGCTTTTCTCGTCGTCGATCATGTCCTCCGACCCTAGCTGCACTGTTTATATTGGTAACTTTTCGACTACCTTAGACAGTTAATTCCTTTTCATCATTAATCGAGTAATTTGAATGCATCTTATTCTGGTTTGTAAATATCAGCATCAGCGATTGAGATTATTAGGTCTAGCAGGTTGTTTCGTTGTTTTCTTCTTCTTTTTGCTGCAATTGCTTATTGATCTTTAGACTGGAGTTAGGTATATGATTAACTCGAAATTTACGTTCATTGCTTAATTCATTGAGGTTTGATTGTATTCTATTATTTATTGAATCAGGGAAAAATTTATAGTTAGACGAGCCTGGCAACTTCCTTTTTTTCGTTGAATTAATGTATACTGCATTCTCTATTCATAGAATTTCAGTTTTTATCTTCTTTTGGAGTGTGCAAAATTTCGAATTGGACACATGGCTTATAATAGTGTCAACTGTCAAGTGTAAACATTAGAACTTGTGTTTAAACTTATGTGTATATTATCTTCAGTTACTCAAATGAGTTGATGGGTTTAATCCGTAGGACACCCAGATTCTCGAGTATTTGAAATGTGTATTATACTAACGTGGATTACACTAAACTGGGGGAGGAATGTTGGTGATTTTAGTGTCACCAAGCCATTTAGTATGATTGGGATTAATGTGAAACAAGCCGAAATTAGACTTAGCTATAATTCAAGTCCGGAGGTATGGAGTGCACGCTCGGATAAGTTAAGTTGATCTCGGATACGCGGGGGTCCGGGGGAAACGCCCCTGGTGGGGTTCCAAGGTCCAAGGGGCATCGCCCCTGGTGGGGTCCAAGGGGCAGAGTAAAATGATGAAGTTTGCTGTACAAGTTTCATCAAAACCCAAATGCGTTAGCTGTTCGGACAATTGTTGCATATCTTCAACAACAGCTGACTAGAATTGATGAAGTTTGCTGCTTGACTTGGCTTAAGTAAAATGCAAACACATTACATCTTAGGGGAATCATCAACCAACAGTCCATTTTGAGGTAGAAACCTAATTTTTGTTGTAATCATCGTTACCAGCATCTTGAGATGAGACCCAAATAGTTTTTAAGTGATGATGACCAAGATGTTTGATCTAGTGTATTTGTACATAATGCTCATCATGGCTACCTTCTTGTTTCTTACTGGGCTGACAGATGCATTTCTATCTTATTTTCTCGTTCTCTTGTTTATAGTTACTCTCCAGTAGTGGCATTAGCAAGAAGTTTCAAGTAAAATATTCATTTTGTTTTTCAAATAAAATCAATAAGTTTGTGGGTATTGCAATTTGCATCTCTCAGATGATATACATTAGTTTGAATGACCAAATTGTAGCATATGCTAGTAAATTTACTAGAAGATCAGATCTATTCGGCTCTACTTTATTTTATGTATGCTTCATTCTTGAATGAATACTTGCTTTCTTCCTGAATTCTTGTTATATGACATTAATAGACTCTGATTCTCTGCTGTAATCAATATTCCACTCTGGAATTTAGCGACTGTTCCCTTCATTTTTGTACTTTTGGTCAAAATGATGTTTGTTATTCAGTTGGCACCTTCTTATTCTGCTATTCATGTGACAGTAGCTGATCTTTTTATCTTTTTATACAGGTAATTTGGATGAGCGGGTAAGCGATAGAGTTTTATATGATATTCTTATTCAAGCAGGCCGGGTGGTTGATTTGCACATTCCTCGAGATAAGGAAACTGATAGATCAAAAGGTTTTGCGTTTGCAGAATATGAAACAGAGGAGATTGCAGATTATGCTGTGAGGCTTTTTACTGGCCTCGTGACCCTTTACAACCGAACATTGAGATTTGGAGTAATATAACTTCCGTCCTTGAGCTCAATGATTTTAATACAGTTTTTGTGTCTCACATTCATATGTTGAATGCAATCTTTAGAAAGTTGGAACTGATTGATTCAGTTCCATTCAATACTTATAGTGATGCTGCTAATGATGTGGGGGTTTATCTTCTAAAAGTATTAGATGAAACTGAATATATTTTTAACATGGTCTTACTGTTAAATCATCGGTTGATTAGTTTCTGCCAATAAGTATTCTATGTTGTTTTATTTCAACTTTGTACAGAGCTACTCCCTCCGTCCCAAAACTATGTCCACAATGGAAAAGACATACAGTTTTAGAAATTTGTAATTATTACATTTACCTGAATGACAATTGTACCCTTAATGGTAGAGGGAGTAATTAACTCTCCATCTCATAATTAAGGGTAAAATTGGAAAGTAGAGACTTATTTTGGGACAAATGGGGCCACTTAGTTTTTGGAAGGAGGAAGTAGTTTGTAGTGCCTGTTATATACTCATAATTTACTCTGTAATTTGAATATGATGATATATGAACTTGTACAGGTCTCTGGACAAGACAAGGCCACTCCAAACTTGCAAGCACCATCCATGTTCACATCTAATTATCCTTTTAAATCAAGGCTCCATGAAGATGTTGCTATGAGCCCTTTGCCACGACATGCACAAGGTTAAGTATCTTATCCCTTGAGTTCTTTCTACTTTGTTTATAGTACTTTCTCATTTGGAGCTCATCCATCCGACTAATTTTCTTTGATCATTTTTCCCTGATGTCCTAATTTACCGTTCATGACAACCTTACTGTTTATCCAATTGTGCAGCGCAATACTCTAACGTAAATAGACCACAATGGACCACATTGTTCATGACCATCCGAGAGGTTTTGGGACTACCCACTCTAGGTCAAGCTGATATGGTATTAAATACTCCATCCGTCCCAATATAAATGTCCACAATTGAAAAGGCATACCGCATTTTAGAAATATGTAATTATCACATTTTCTAATTAACTAATGACAATTTTACCCTTAACAATAGAGGGAGTAATGAATTTAGGATAGGACTGGAAAGTAGGTACTTACTTTTGAACGTGAACATAAGAGGTAGTAAATTAGCAAGAATTCCCATCTTATTGTTGTTGTCAGCAAGAGTATAGAATATGGATGTCTTAATGACCAAAACCCATCTATTTAGTGTGTGTATTAGTATTACTAGTGTAGCTTTCATGTTAGCTTAATGCACTGTACCTGATGGCTGTTATGTGTGCCATTGACCTTCACTTATTTAGTATCTTTTTTGGGTAAATTGTTAACTTAAGCCTAATACTCATCATTTCTAGGCTGCTTTTAGTTATCATTATTTATTGCTAAGTTTACCAACACAAATTGGTTAAGCACTAAAAGTGCGGTCTGGGTTAGTACTTGAATGAGTAAGAGTCCCTCCCTTAGCTTACCATATTAGTATCATGGAGCAATAAGAGGGACTTGGTAAACGACGTCATCTTTGACTGGGTAAGCACCTCTTACCCGATAAAAGGCGGTAAGTAAGTAGTAAAGAGCCATTAACCCATCTCTTTATGCATAGATTTTAAGGGGAGGATGGTTGTGAGGTATTTCTGTCTTAAGGGACTGTTTGACAATTGCTGAATGGTTTGGTGCAGAATGATTAAGTGGTCAGAATGATTAAGAAACTCTCATGATATAGTGCAAAATGAAATATAATTGTTTGGTAATTGTGTACAATGAAATTAGAGCTCTTAATGGTTAAGGGAGATTCAAAATACAAAATCATTCAGAGGGTTTTAGAATCATTAAGAGGCAGATTTTTTTTTGCCAAACAAGATCCACCTCTTAACGATTCAGAGGTTGCCTCTTAATGGAACTATTAAGATGTAAACAATATTTATCATTAAGCACTGAGGCTCCAATGAACCATGTTTCCCAATAAGCTATGCTATTGCTCATTTTGTATTTTATTATCATCATCTTGATTCTCTGTAGTTTTTATTCTATTATTACATATGACGATAAGTAGATGTGTGTTGTTACCCGGTGGATAAGGATGTGAGCATCCTTAGAATAAGTGGGAGGTCGGGGGTTCGACTTTTAGCAGTGATGGGCGGATGCAGGTTCAAGGGGTAGGGGGCACACACGCCCCCGACAAAACTCCAAAAAGAATATAAATTATTTCCATCACATTTATCCCAATTATTTCCCTTTGCTGCCCCAACCTTTTTTCATTGCTGTCCCCAACCTTCTTCCCACGACTCAGTCGTTGCTCCTTGCGACCCATTGCGGGACTGATTACGGAAGGACCGATTGTCATAAGACCGACCGATTAAGGGGCATATAGATAATTAATGTCTTCTATTTTGAGCTTTAGTTTCGTCTTAGAATGTTTTGATTTTCATCATATGATGGTTATATTATATTTGTCTATCCACCATCGATTAAAATTTCTCCCGATCAACTTATCTTCGTTAGTCATCTTATTTAAAAAAATAGCAAATAAAATAAACGTATATTGGTTTCATTCGTTTTTTTCACAATACGAGATCAAACAAACAACCAGTAGAAGATTTGTTTTTCAATGTCTGGCATTGACATAGAGGTTGATGTTTCAAAGTGGATGAAGGTTCGGGATTAAAGACAGATGAAGAAAAGATGTCAGTGTAGATCTTCTGTATCTTCAAAAGCTGCGTACACGATCTTTTGGTCACCATCCATGATGAATAAATACAATAAGGAAGTATAAATCTCTTCCACGGTGCCTCTATTCGGGACTAAAATTACAGTATGATTTGCTGATAAAAGCATAAGCTGGTCTCAAGATCTTCGTTTTTTTCGTTAAACTTTTAACTTACTGGTTTCATAAGTTAGAGGTTTTTATAAAGACGGGTGATCTATTTTTTTTTTTTTTGGAATAAAAGATAAATATATGTATTTCTCACTCCTCAAAAAACCCTAATTCAAAATGAAATACAAATCAAAAGTTTCATAAATATTTACATTATCCAACATTTTGCTAGTTACATTTAACTATATTTATAATCTATACTATATTATAATAAAAACTCTTAAAATTCATTTTTTATGTATGAAGTACTGTTTATTGATGTATATTATTTAAAATTTAAGATTATAAGTAAACTGTGTAAATACAACTTATTAAAGTTTCATGTTTGAATTCGTGTAACTAAATGCAGATAAACATAACAAATAAAGAATAATATCTTATTTTAAATATAAAAGATCTAAAATATACTTAGAATAATCATTTAGTTATTACAAAAAGCTTAATTATTATCTTTATAAAAATTATATTATTAAACTAAAAATAAAAAATGAATTAAAGAAATACACAAAAAAAAAATTAAATAGTTAGTTTAATACTAATATAATTTTTTTTTTCACTTTTTTATGATATATCTTCAGAACATTATCGTTTTCTTAAAATCATATAAAATCGTATTATAACATTGACTGAGACAAAAAAAAAGATAAACGGAATATTAAAATCGAGATGTATCCTGCTGCATTGTGCGAGTATCTTATGTTATAAAAAGTTATTATAAAAATATTTGTCAAAAACTTTTTTTTAACAAATTATTAAGTTGTTTATTAATGTAAATATCTTAGGTTATAAAAAGTTATTATAATACACATACAACCTCTAAAAATTAACAAATTTCATAAGTCTTTTAAAATCTTGATTAAATACAATTAAATTTTAACTTAAAAAAATTAAATAAAAAAACAAGTATTTTATTATCCTTAATTTGATATTTATTTTAATATATGTTTTTTGTTACTATTTTAACATGGTTTAAAGTTTTAATCACGAATATATTCTATCCAATTGTATTTTAACATTTATTTCATGTTCTTAATTTTTTTTAAATTCAAATTTACAACTTTTACTATATATGTACAACTTAAAAATTTATGTTTGAAGTTCATAAAACTAAACGATAACCAATCAGATACATTCAAATACAAAATATGACGATAAGGGCTGAGCTCTACTAATTCGACGTAACGATAACCAGTTGAAGACTCTCGATTTTTTAAAACAACAGAAACCCATAAAATAAAATTGAGAGATATAATAAAATGAAGCACGAAAAAAAAATATTAAATGTTAATGTTTCGGCTTTCGAATGAAGATTTATCAGGCTGCATGATGCAGTACACTTCTAGTTTTTTTTAAATATCTATACTATATTATAAAATATTTGACAAAAACTCTTAAAAACTATTTTTTATGCATAACTGTTTATTGATGCATATTAATTAAAATTCAAAATTACAAGTAATTTTGTCTAAGTACAATTTATTAAAACTTCATTTCTTAAATTCGTGTAACTAAATGCAGATAAACATAATCAAATACAGAATAAACATCCATTTTAAATATAGAAATCTAGAATATAATTAAGATAATCATTGATTTCTAACAGAATGTTTAATTATTATCTTTATAAAATTTATTAAACCAAAAATAAATTAATTTGTTATTAAATCTAAATTAACTTATAATAAAAAAATTGAACTAAAGAAGTTACACAAAAAAAAAAAAAAAAAAGCGAGAACTATTAGATAGTTAATTTGATATTAATATCGATTTATCTTTTCAAAATTTTATATTATCTTCCAATTTATATTTCATTCAAAAATAAAAAATATAATCGCTTTCTCAAAACCACATAAAGTCGTATTATATCGATAGAGATAGAATAAAAACTAAATATTAAAATATAGATTTATCTCGCTACATTGTGCGGGTACCGTTCTAGTATATATTCAATTCATGTATTAATTTTCAACAAGTTTCTTATAAAGGCAAAAAGTTGGGAAAAATTCAATAAACTTTCATATTTTAAATGATGATGAAGACCCTGAATGTTTTTTTAAATAAAAAACTATTGAATTTTTTCATTTCGAGTGATCAAGTCATCGACTTGTATTTTGAATAATAAATCATTGATTTTTTAAAAATTAATTACTGACCTCATTTTAACCCAAAAACAACTATCAGTAACCAAATACTAGGTTTTAAAGTGTATAAAAAATAGAGAAAACTTCAATCAGTTTTACCGTTTTCAAACCTTGCACCATCTCGCACCCAATACCATTCCCCCTTGTCACCCCGTTATCGTCCAATCTCTATTTAGAGTGGAGTAAATGAATCTGTATACTTTGCTAAATGCATTCCATCAAGGATCATTTTTACATTTTCAACGTATGATTTAACCTGATTCTAAAATGAGAAAATTGCATCAAAATGGAATCAACTTTCACCTATTTCTTATTTTGGAGAACCAACTTTCAAAATTGTCATTTTGGGGAACCAACTTGTACCTGATTCTTATTTTAGGGAACCAACTTTCAAAATCGTCATTTTGGGGAACTGACTTGCACCTGATTCCTATTTTGGGGAACCAACTTGCAAAATAATTATAGAAAAATAACTAAAATTCATTTTTTTCCAAAAATTAATGCAATAAAATCTATTTTTCATTTCAAATCTCATTTTTTTAGATTCAGATATCAAATTGAATATTTAAAAAAAATCCAAATTACCACAATAAAAATTGTTTTTTACTAATGCAAAAAAAAATCAATTTAATAGAAAAAAATATAATTGATGCAATAAAAAATAAATATTAAATATCACATTCAAGATTTTTATATTTAACCAATTGCATCAATTAATTTTTTTCTATTAAATTGATTTTTTTTGTATTAATAAAAAACAATTTTTGTTGTGGTAATTTGGATTTTTTTATAAAATGTTCAATTTGATATTTGAATTAAAAAAAACGAGATTTGAAATGAAAAATAGATTTTATTGCATTAATTTTTGAAAAAAAAAAACGAATTTTAATTATTTTTCTATAATTATTTTTCAAGTTGGTTCCCCAAAACAGGAATCAGATGCAAGTTAGTTCCCCAAAATGACGATTTTGAAAGTTGGTTCTCAAAATAAGAATCAGGCGCAAGTTGGTTCCCCAAAATAGGAATCAGGTGCAAATTGGTTTCCCAAAATGACAATTTTAAAAGTTGGTTCCCCAAAATAGGAATTAGGTGAAAGTTGGTTCCATTTTGATGCAATTTCCCCTTCTAAAATAAACCTAGGGATGAACATAATATGGTACCATATTTTATTTGCCTATATCATGTACCAACCAATTATAATTATACATAAAATTTTATACCTTGTACCAACCAACTCTATTTGGTATTAATTTAATTGGTACCAATTTTTTCGATTGATATGGTTTTGTACCAATATCGTAAAAGTTAAAGGTTACACATTTATTTTATATTGATATATTTACCAAAATAGACACACTAAAACCATTAAATTCAAATAACACGTTGACATGTGTTGATACTATTTATCTCTATATATACGAACGCTAATTAACTTCATATAGATGAGAATAACATCCACTAAGAAAAATTACAAAAATAACCTTTAATTTAATAGAAAAAACGTGTTTTTCTCATATAACCTAATGATATTTTGATAATTTATGGAGAGTAATGATTAAGAGATGAAAACATGTGGTTAAAATGGTTTTTTTAATTAATTTCCTGATATATAATTATTTATTAAACTTTAAATAGTAAATAATTTAAGAGAAAAGTACAATAAAAACCAATGAACTTTCTTGTTTGGAATGATTAAGTCCTTGAACTTTTTTTTGGAACAAATAAGTCCTTGGACTTTCCAAAACATGTTAAATAAGTCCTTGAACATTCCAAAATATGTTAAATAAGTCCTTAGACAATTTTTGGAACAAATAAGTCATTGGACATTCCAAAAAATATTAAATAAGTCATTGGACAATTTTTGGAACAAATAAGTTCTTGAACAAATAAGTTCTTGAACAATCCAAAACATGTTAAATAACTTTTTGAAAAAAATAAAGTGGTAAAATAGTGAAAAAAATCCGGAAAAAAACCCAATGAACATTCATATTTTGAACGATTAAGCCCTAAATATTTTTTGAACCAAAAAGTATTTAGATTTATAAAATTAAACAAATATAAAAAAAAAGTACTTACATTTACAAAAAAATAATTACCATTTTAACTAGTTGTACAAGTCATGAGAATGTATCCAACATGTTCTATAAAAGTTCAAGAAGTTATTTAACATGTTTTGGATTGTTAGGACTTATTTGTTCCAAAAATTGTCCAAGGACTTATTTAACATTTTTTGGAATGTCTAAGGACTTATTTAACATATTTTAAAATGTCCAATAACTTATTTAACATTTTTTGGAATGTCTAAGGACTTATTTAACATATTTTAGAATGTCCAAGGACTTATTTGTGCTAAAAAATTGTCCAATGACTTATTTAACATGTTTTGGAAAGTTCAAGGACTTATTTGTTCCAAAAAAAGTTCAATGACTTAATCATTCCAAACAAGAAAGTTCATTGGTTTTTATTGTACTTTTCCCATAATTTAAAAACTAGTTGTGTACCTGTGCAATGCGGTGGGAGTCGTGAATTTTAATACTTTTGAAGTTTCATTGGTTTTATTAGAGAAAATTTAACGATGATATATATTACACTTGGTCTTTACATATTAATACAATTTGAATAAATAAAAGTTATGATTCCAATTAGAGTCTATCGATGAAAAAAAAATTGTATAACGATTTAAAATCCAATATATTTAAAATCCAACATATTTAAACGACTCCACAAATGTGTTCGATTTATACCAAGAGCAAAGAATCAAGAGATCGAGAGCGAAACCGAGACCGAGAGTTCTAGAGCAATTGAATGAAAGATGAATGTGAGAACTTTTAATAACTCATAGTGAATATCAGTTTGAATCTCACATTGGGTGATGGGGAGAAGACATAGAGGTATAAGATGGTGAATACATAGGTAAAAGGTGTCAGAAGTATGATGAGAACATGAAAATAAAAAGTAATAATGTGCATTGGTAACTTGTACTATATTTCATTTTAATTGTAGATTAAAATATTTTAAGACTGAATGCATAAAGTAGTTGTACTTAATACATTATGAGTTGTTTTTAAAACTATGCATAAATCTATAATAATTTATGCATTAAAAATTGTTTTTAAATTTTTTAATAAATCTGGTTTACAAGTAGTATAGATAATTATAATGATACCATCATAGACACTTTCAAATTGGTACAATAAACCTGTTTTGAAGAATGATTTGGGAAAAATCTCTCCAAAATCAATGTTTTCGGAAATTCTGTTTCAAGATGCCGTTAACCGCTGTTGTTGGCCTGAATTCCAGTTAAACTCTGACACCATGAGCTGACTGCCATGTTCAACCTCCGTCACCTTCGCTTCTCTCCTGCATTCACCTCCTCCGCCTCTGCCTACCTTAACTTCCATGAAAATTTGAGCCTTTGCTTAACAAAGGGTCATCTCGATGAAGCTCTCACTCTCTTTTACACTTCTAACTTCTCTCATACCCAACAGACATATGCCGATCTCCTCCACGCCTGTGCCCGCCATGGATGTCTCTCGCAAGGCCAAGCTCTACACCACCACATGCTCAACACCCACAATCGAAATGGCTTACAAAATCTATACGTAACCAATCATCTGATCAACATGTATGCGAAATGTGGGTGTTTGGAGTATGCACGTAAGGTGTTCGACGAAATGGGGGAGAGAAATATTGTCTCTTGGACTGCTCTTATTTCAGGTTATTCCCAATTCGACAGACGTGAAGAGAGTTGTGGTATGTTTTCTGAGATGTTAGCGGATTGTCGCCCGAATGAGTTTGCTTACGCAAGCGTGCTAAGCTGTTGTGATTGTGAGTTCGGCAAACAGGTACATGGGCATTCACTGAAAACCTGTTTTGATGCTTACACTTATGTGGCAAATGCATTGATCACCATGTATTCAAAGAATGATGATAAAAGTGTTTGTAAAGATGAACCGCTTGAGGCTTGGATGGTTTTCAAATTCTTGAAGTTTCGGAATCTTGTGACATGGAACTCGATGATTGCGGCTTTTCAGACTAGAGGGAAGTGGGAAGAAGCTGTAAATCTGTTCTTGACGATGCGGCATGATTGTAACATTAGTTTTGACCGTGCAACTCTTCTTAGCGTATTTTCATCATTGTTGATGGTTAGAGACGATGGTGATGATGCGATTGCCGAATGTCTCAAGTTCTGTTCTCAGGTACACTGCCTTGCCATTAAAACATGGTTTATCTCAGAAATTGAAGTGATAACCACATTGATAAAGGCGTATGCTGATCTTGGTGTAGAAATTCCCGATCTTTATAGTCTATTCCTGGAGACACGGGGCCGGAGAGATATTGTTTCATGGACCGCGTTCATAACAATATTCGCCGAACGGGTCCCTGAAGAGTCTCTTCGTTTTTTCTCTGAATTATGTCAAGAGGGTTTGATTCCAGACCGTCATACATATTCGATAGTCTTGAAAGCGTGTGCAGGCCTTGTGACTAATCGACCCACGTTGGCTATCCATTCTCAAATCCTGAAACACGGTTTTGAGAATGACACTGTGCTTGCAAACACATTGATTCATGCATACGGAAGATCTGGTTCACTTATCGAATCCGTGAAAGTCTTTGATACGATACTTAATAAGGACATAGTTTCTTGGAATTCAATGATCAAGATTTACGGGTTGCATGGTCAACCAAGAAACGCGTTGAAATGCTTTGCGGAAATGAATGTAGCCCCTGATGCTACAACTTTTGTCGCCCTCCTATCAGCGTGCAGCCATGCGGGTTTGGTTGAAGAAGGGACCAAGGTTTTTGAAACCATGTCTAAAACTTATGGGATTGTTCATCAAATTGATCATTATGCTTGTATGGTCGACATTTTAGGGAGATCTGGCCGGATTCTGGATGCTCAAAAGCTCATAAACGAAATGCCAATGGAACCCGATTCTGTAATATGGAGTTCTATGCTTGCAGCCTGTCGGAAACATGGTGAAACGGATCTGGCAGAGTTAGCCGCTACAAAACTGCAGGATCTTGATCCAAAGAATTCACTCGGATATGTACTAATGTCCAACATACACTGCTTAGCCGGTACTTTCGATGAATCTGTAGATATAAGGAACCAAATGGAAGGGTTCGGTGTGAAGAAGAACCGTGGTTTGAGTTGGACCGAAATAGGGACCAGGGTGCACGAGTTTGCTGCAGGTGGGGTTCATCATCCACAGAGAGAAGTCATATTTACCGATCTAGAGGAGTTAGTGAAGGAACTAAAAGGGTTAGGATATGTGCCGGAAACCAATTTGGCCATGCGCGACGTAGAGGAGGAAGACAAGAATCGGGAACTAAGTCACCATAGCGAGAAGCTTGCTTTCGTTTTCGCGTTAAAGCATCACGAATCTAACCCTTTTAGCGCTATTCGGATCGTTAAGAACATACGGATATGTGTCGATTGCCATAACTTCATGAAATTTGCAAGTGAGCTAGTTGGAAGGGAAATCATCGTGAGGGATTCAAACCGGTTTCATCATTTTAAAGAAAGAGTATGTTCTTGCAATGACTATTGGTAACAACCACCAGGTTGATCACTGTAACAACCCGTTTTTCAGAGCGGAGGTTCAAATGCGGTGACTCCGGGCTATCTGCAAAGCAGGTGGTCGTCCTGAGATTAGTCGGCTCGCATAGCGGGTTGGATATCCAGGTTAGTCAAAAACAAAACAAAAAACCACCAGGTTGATCACTGTAACAACCCGATTCTCATGAATGGAGAAGTAGATTTCTGAGCTCCTTGTAAGCTTGAAGTTGTGGGCTGCCCATAACTTCCACCATGATGAATCTTGTTTGGCAAAAAAAAGTTTGTTTCTTAACGGTTCTAAAATCTTCTGAATGATTTTGTATCTTGGGCCTCGCTTAACCATTCAACACCCTAATTTCATTGTGAATAATTACCAAACAATTATATTTCATTTTGCACTATATTATAAGATCCTCTTAATCATTCTGACCACTTAATTATTCTGCACCAAACCATTCAGCAACTGCCAAACAACCTCTTCATCTGTTTTTACGGTCATTCATGCGGAGGAAAATCATGGTGTCTCGGAGACAAATGGATGGTGTCTGAATTCCCAACTCGTTACTGTTAAGAACCCGTTTGGTTTGACGAAATGTTTCCAAATCCTTACAAATCGTATCAAATTTCACAAACCAAACATATCGGTTTGGTTTCTGGAATTAGATTGGATTTGAAATTTAATTTTATTCCAATCCCATGTTTAGTTTGAAAGATTTCATTGAAACCCACAAAACACAAGATTTTAAATCCTACATGAAAGTGGTTGATATTTTATAGGATTTCGCAGGATTTGTATTCTAAATTATATGAAAAACATTTATTTTATATTCATCAATAAATAAAAAAAAGTAATTTAATTATTTATAAAAAATAAAATTCAAATCATACGCACAAAAGATTTCAAATCCCTCCAATTCTAGATTCTTCTAGAAAATCCAAAACTATCAAATAACCAAAATGAAGACATAGGGGCCATTTACTAAACGCTTACCTGAGTAATTGCTTACCAAGTCACATTACCTTACCAGATGAATATGATAAAGACCAAGAATCTTATCCGGATCTGGTAAGAGCGAGACAAGGAACAAGAGTCTTACCCGATAAATGAGGGCAACGACTCTTACCATGGTAAACGCTTACTAGGTAAATTGTTGCATACAATGTCGTTTTGGTGGACTAAAGTCTTACCCTGTAAGTAAGTGGTAGTGTTAAATTTTACCCGTAAGTGTTTATCGGGTAAGTGTTTAATAAACGACCCTATGGATGAGATTTGTTGGGGTTCGTCATGTATAAATTAAAGGAAGCTTTTCTGATGGTATGTCGTTAAGAATTTATGGTAGTGTAGGATCAGCACCTCGGGATGCAGATTGGGACAGTTCCAACTCCATATCAAGGATATCGTCACTGACATCAATATCGTCACGATAACAAGCTTTTCGAGATCTTGTAAAAAACTGCTAGGTATACAATGTCAAACAAGAACAACCACTCTATGTGTTGAACAAATCATAGGAACGAAAAACACGATTAATTCTAAATATTATTATAAAGTATTACATGATCATACATATTATTCAATTTTTACGAGGTTTAAGGTTTTATTACAGAAGTTCGGACTGCAAAAAGTTCGTTCTTATAGAAAATGTGACCAGCCACAAAACTAATAAAAACCTATCGATTCAAACTTAGAACACCATTATCTAAGACGATAAATGATTATAGAATCATCGTGGAAACAATCTGTATGAAACTGATAGTCGATAGGAAACCTTGTCCATCAACCAAACATGCTGATTGAAAACGGATTTCATATATAATAATCGTACTTTCGTAAAAACATTATTGGGTAGTGGTTTTTCTTCTCAACCTCGAATAAAATATGTTGTCAATTCGACCAAAAGTTTCGAGTCAAAGTGGTCAATTAAATCGAACTTAAATCACAATAATTGAAGGAGGAATAGAAACCGAAATGAGTTGGATCAATGGTAAACTCCGGTTTGATGTGGGCACTTGAGTTTATGGGGTCCATGAGACCATGACCTCCTCTCTTGTCAAATGCTCAATATATATAATTTTCAGAGCTATTTTTAACAGATTTTTTTTAAAATCGTTTAAAAATAAAAAATAAAAATTTAAAAAACACTTCTAGGATTGTGTTTTGTTCAAGAGGTCAAGGTGGATTCAATTTAAAAATTGTATTATTTCCGAAATCGATATAATTGACTTTTCTTCGGGTTAAACCACGCCGACTTTTCCCTCCACTCAAACTCACGACTTTTTGTGGGCATTTGATCCACCTTAAAGGTGTACTTGCTCAAAAAAAAGTTCATGGGTCTATCACTGGTTACTAGGTAAGAGACGTTACCATAATCTAATTTTATAGCAAAAAATTGTTATCCGATAAAACCTTGTGAAATTAGCTCAACTGTCAATATAATAAGGCGTGGGCATTTAAAGATTTTCCTTAGAATTTACCATTTCGATTCTTGAAAGGCCACTGAGGATTTTCTAGGATTCACCATAGAAATCAAAGTCTTCTTCTCCGAGGTCAAATCCTGCTGTTTCGACCACAGATCCGAACCAGGAGCTACCGTCAATCCAATGCGAAACCATCACCAAAATGGAGCTTTTTACAGTTGGATTTGTTGAAACCACAAGAAATCGGGTTGGCGGATCTAAAGAACCGGAGCCAGAGAAGCCATGGAAGCATGAATGATGAAACCCAGAAGAAGAAGAAGAAGACGAAGCATTTGTTGTTGTTTGATGGGTGTTAATGCTCTGCAAATGCAGTTGAAAGTATAGTTTCATGACAGATTCCGATGGTCAAACCAACAACTTAGAAAGAAAAAAAGATGAAATCGGGAATTTCAAAAAGAAGTAAAACTCTAATGAGGATATTTTTGTCATTTACATAATTTTAAAATAGAATTTGATCAATTGAATTCAACATTTCAATTAAAGTTGGAATGAAATTTGGTCAACTGAATTGACCATTTCAATTCTATCAGATTTTGACAGTTTGCAACGAGCCAAACGTTCCCTTAGGTTATGTTATTTAATCATTCTCTTTGACACAATACGATGTCGTTGCATATTTGTCTTGCATATTTGTCTTAAATATTTGTATATATATATATATATATATGTATGTATATATATATATATATGTATGTATATGAATTTGAACGAAGTCATTTGTCATATTAAAGTTATTCATTTTTATAAAGAGTGGTTCAATAAATTGACACATCACTAAACTCAATATTTTATTAGTATTATGTTATCTGCTTTTCATTAGGATATATGTATCTATATTATATTATAAAATATTTAATAAAAATTTATAATAATTATTTTTTATACAAGAAATATTGTTTATTAATGCATATTACTTAAAATTCAAGATTACAAAAAAATTATGCGTAAGTACAACTTATTAAAGCTTCATGTTTGAATTCGTTTAACTAACTGCATATAAACATAATCTTAGGGGATAAACATCTCATTTTAATTATAAAATATCTAAAATATAATTAGCATAATCATTGAGTTCTAACAGAATACTTAATTATTATCGTAAATAAATTATTTTATTAAACCAAAAATAAAAAAATGAATTAAAGAAATACACAAAAAACGAGAAATTTTAAATAGTTAGTTTGATACTAATATAAAAAATAAAAAAATAAATCTCGCTGCATTGCACAAATACCCTTATATATACATTTTAATAAAAAAATAGATAAAAATCTAATAATTACATTGAACGAGGATAAGCTCAAGTGAAATTAAGTGGTGTAAAACAACTGATGTGGATATATATAGTGTTGGGTTTTGGTGAGAAGAAAAATTAAGGTAAAAAGCATAAGAAATGATCTTCACCCTTTGATGCACATTAAGATGAGATGCATCGAATGATTGAATCCATGTATCAAGTTTGATTCACGGATGAGTTTGAGATTAGAGGTGATTAATTGTTCAGATCCCTTCTTACGCTTATCACATATTATAAGGTAATTTTTATGAAAGAATATATCTGATCTCAATTTGAATGTTTAGAGTGTCTCAATCACGAACGACTTATGTGACAATCCCGTCTACATGGATAGAAACAATACATAGCGTCGTGGTTGTTAAATATATTATCATGTTATTTATTAATCTTGTATAGATTTGTGTAAATACATACACAACTTTTTACGTACATAGCTATTCATAAATGGTATATAAAAGTTAAAACGGCAGAATTTTGATCATTTGTGTAATGTTAGGTCAAACTTATTATAACCTTACGCTCGACTATATTAATGTCAAGCCACAATCATAACTTAATTGACATCAGGTCGTTAATCTTTGGGGTCTTTTATCAAACACTTACTCGGTAAGCGCTAACTGATAAAATTTAACGCTATCATTACCGGGTAAGACTCTTGGTCCATGTCTTGATCTTATCGGGTAAGATTCTTGATCCTTATCATATTTATCCGGTAAGGTAATGTGACTTGATATTCACTTACCTGAGTAAGTGTTTGGTAAACGGCCCATTAGTTTGTTAGTATGCAGAAGACACTTCAATAAAACTGGATTTGTAGAAAACCAAAAATGTGTAAACACAGTAATATATTGCTTTATAGGACCACAAAATAAAAATATCATATCTGAAAATGTTATGATAAATTTATCGGACGCTTTTGAACGTCCTAACAAGCTTTTTGGACAATTTTAGAATACAACATCGTATTAGTTATTTTATATAACACTGTCTAAAAAATATCTATAAAAACAGGTGTTTTATAATAAGATGTGTTCATAGAACACTTTTCAACGTATCACGTAAAATAGCAAATGAAACGTTTTATTTTAGAAAAATCATAAAAGTTGTCTAGACATCCAGACACATCTTATAAACTTATTACATCACTTTTAGATAAATATATTTTATTGTTTGATCGTATAAACTTAAGTCTTATAAAACGATGTATTAATTAGAATACTTAGACATTGTTGACTTTCCATAAACTCAATTTTATTGTA